AGGATATGCATGGCCTTATCTTGCTACTCGCTCACCATTGTATCTTGTGAATTATAACGGATAGTCCCAGCCACCGAATCTAGTATAGATGCCTTCTGTGCCTATAGAATGTCACATCTATTCCTGTAGGTTGTCCATGTCACTGGGATATGGCTTATCCATCTCTATCTCCGTCCAGACGGGTAGAAAGCATGCCGAAGACCTTTGCTTAGTAAATTGGTACCATCCTCAGTGATATTTGCCTAGGTCGTATGCATTTCGTTGATGTCTTCATAGTGCATTGGTATCATATGTAGACATCCAATTCTAAGCCGTGCCAATCGCTTTGATGTTGCTCAATATCCCTGTGTCCTATTTCTGTGCACCGGTCCTATTTCCGCTGTATCAGGTGGAGGACATGTTCAAACCACAGGAGAATGCGTGGGTGCCTTCACTGGCGATGTTTGGCGGTAAAGTGGCGCTCAACGACGAGGATTGGCGTCACACCGCTGCACGCGAATTTCAGGTGAGATTGTGTGTAGAGTTTTAGGGTTTATGTTTGTAGAGTTCCTCGATATATACTTGTATATGTAGAGGCGTATGCTTGTATGACTATACATTTTAATATGATATGCCTGTATATCTGTGACGTATGCTTTAATAAAAATAGGATCCATGCTTGTATATCTATAGACGTATGCGTGCACATCTGCAGACGCATCCTGATAGTATCCTGTGAAGTGTATATTCAAATGCTGGTACACACGTGATTATCTCTGCAGCGTTTATTTTAGTGCCGCTGACTTGGTTTATTCAACTACCCTTTTACCAGGAAGAAGTGGGATATATATTAGGGGACAAAGAATCGGGCGTTCCAAAGAAGATGAGCGAGTTCTCAAGAACGGAAGTGGATGTAGCCAAGGCATACACAAGCTATCTGGCCATATCTAAATATCAACTGTTAGAGTATCCGATAGAGCCAGAGGATATTGATGCATTCTTACAACTGCCGAAAGAATACTGGAATAAATATAAGGGAGAGGTACGTGTTGTTCTGGTTCATGCGTAGAGACAGTCTTGGATGTTTGCAGTGTTTACGTTTGTTGCAAGTATAGTATGCGCACATATAGTG